TTGAGCTTAGCCTGCAAGTAGAAGGTTGTGGTGTTGTGAACTCCATGTTGATTTCCGAATGCCGTGGTATCGAACTCCAATATCATACAATAACGTGCAAACATGACTCCATCGCTCAGTAAAGTGTCGTGACCACATCAAACTCCGCCTCTCTCCTCCAAATACAATGATAGCCACCTTGCTCTCAACCAGTATAGCTTCATCTCGCTCGCGTCGTCTAACCCCAGAGTCTTACAACCTCCACAACACCCAGACCCAGTGCAGTGATCTGCAGAGCGCGACTTGGTGAAAGCATGTCGGACGCCGCGCTTTCGGTGGTGTTTTTTCCACCAGTTCCCTTTCCACCCTTGCCTCCTCCTTTGCCGCCGCTGCTGCTGGCTCGTTCTTCGAGTTGAACTTCTGGCATAACTAGGGTGTCGCGTGCAGCAAGCGCTTCGCGGAATTGGGCGCGAGATCCGATCAGTGCTGGTTCAGCTACCGCGTCTGGGTTGGCGACGGGTGCTGGGCTGGCGAGCGCGACAGTCGCGAGGAGAAGAGCAGTTGCCGCTGTGAACTTCATGGTGGTAATGTTTGAGGTAGATTTGCAAGTTTGTGTTTGAAGATGGAAAGGTGTAAAGGGGGTAATGAACTCGAGGTAGGGTTTTATAGACTGATGAGTATATTAAGGGTGAGTGGTTGATGTATGAGTCGCCGCAATGAGTCTTTGGTGTAACCTTAAGGCAGATTTGATGAGTTGTATGCACATGGAAAGGAGGCGCGACTCATCGCATTTATGTATTCAGGCCACAAGCGGTGTGCTTCATGAATTACGCCGTGGACGCCTTAACGCTGTACACAGCCTGCACGCGCAGAGTAAGATCGCCAACACAGCCTGCTTTCAGCTTGACGCGATTCTGGTAATGGTCTGTGACGTCGTGAGGGTGTTGGACCAATAACAATCGTTGTTTAGCCAGCCATGGAAAAGCGCGAGATTGGGCTGACGGCTTGGCTTTCTTGGCGGTCAGCTGAACAAGGCGTTCCGTCCCGCTCTTGGTCGCCTGTCTCGAGAGCTTGACAACCTCCAAGGACTTTCGTCATTCCTGTTTCTCTTCTAGGTCAGGAACGCAGCCAAGGATTCAAATGTAGTACTGGTAACATAAGCTTCGCTGACTCTTTGTGTCCAATGAAGCTCACGTTGCCTGTGCTATGTTCGCAAAAGACTCGCGAAGTCACCATTCAACCTTTCATAGTATCCCTGCAGTATACATCGACAATGCAGCATTTGGGGACGGGATGCGAGCTGGGAAGCCGTACGGAGGTTTGTAAAAGTTGTCTAGATTGTACATGGATGACTAGCAGGAGACTTGTGTATGCGATCCGTATGAACCCGACAGATCATGTTTGCTTTCCGATGTGAACTGATCCTTGTCCTGGCTTGAGGGTATGTGTTCGAGGCGAACGTGTCCTGCTTCGCGTGGCTTGGACGAGGAAGAGGGAGAGTTTCGCATCGCGTTGGGGAAGAACTGCCGTGCCATTGGACGAAGAGCAGCGATGCTGACGGAGATGATTCCCAGACTGCACTCGCCTACCGACATAATTACGCACTCGACGCTCTGATCTGTATATTTGTTAGCTCTCATGTTCGAGTGGAATAGCCGACATCAATGCAATTTCTGTTGGTGGCAGGTATAGCAGTTCGTGCTCTGCTTGCTGCATCCAAAGACACCCTCCATCATGATCCTCAAATCGAAAGAATACTTACAGGTAACATCCAGGACGCGTAAACGGTCCAAGAAGGCAATACGGACAATGCCCAATATGCTTGCGCTATCAAAGGTTAGCAAAGTTCGATGACCTGCCGTCTACAAATACCTTGCGCCTCCTGCGAGTAGCACACATAGGACGATTCGTTGCCTCTTTGGCATGTTCAGCCTCCAGATATGAGGGATAGGTAGCGCGCAAAGGAGAAGATCCGTCGCGACATTAACGGCGGAGCTGGCGTATAGATAGGTGACGTAGTCGACGCACACTGGTTCGAGGGTGAAGTCCCACGCTCCTTGGACCGGACGGCATTGGAAGATGGTGACGAAGATTCCTAACAGTACTTCAGCACATGTCACGTGTCGGGAACTGTGGCTTGTCTTACCCGAAATCCATAGACCGACGATGCACACAGATATCGCGTACATCCAGATGCGGAAGGTCTTGTCGTGGATGAAACGCAGGTACGACGATATGATGGCGATCTTCGTCAACGCAATAGCAAAGGCGTATAGGATTTGGCAGATGAAGAGATACTACAGCGCGTTAGTTGTGACAGCTCAACAAGTCCATTTTCAACATTCATGACAATCGCCATATCCAGGATACGACACCCAATGAAAGCTTGGCACCTACCAATATACAGTCCTTCAAAGTGTCGAAGAGTGTCAACATGGGTAGGAGCCAAATGTGTCGCCCGAGGCCATATTGGGTTGCTAACATATCGTTAGCTGGATTCCGCACTCGAAGTACCTGCTGCTTACCAGCGATACACACTGCAGCCAGAGCAACAGTGAAGATGGCCGCGCAAATGATAAGGACTGTCATACATCAGCTGGGACCTTTGTGAGGGAGGGGATAGGTGGGCCCGTACAATCGTCTATGAAGATATGGCCGACGTATTTCGCTCTTGCGAAGAGGCGGAGACCGACAGTCAACACCACCAGAGCGATGAAGACTGCGCATGTTATCGTAAGACTGTTGACCTTCGAAGTATGGTCGCTGAAATCGAATTGGGTGATGTCGACTTCTATGCCACCGAAGAAGACAGGGTCTGCGTTGGGGTTGGAGTTCTGGCTTGCCATAATGCAAGGTCTCAGTGGTTTCAATGTGAAATGAAGGTAAGATCCGCAACAATCTGTGTAGAGGAGCCCGAAGGCATATGAATCCACGTAGAGGTCGGGCCGCAACCGGCGTAGTCTTACGGGGGCGAGTGGCCTGTGGGATATGCACGATGAATGCGCAATAGACCCGGTGGATCCCCTTATTATCTCTCGGTCAGCCGTTGTGTGGCGTCTTTCGTCAGGACTTTGGGCGGTATCATTAGACTCTTCCATCAGACCGGTAGCCCTAACTGACATGCGGAGCTAGCTCTTAATGCCAGAACATGAATCCGGAACGAAAAACAACATTCCTTCCAGACCTTTGGATCTCTGGTGTTTGGTTTCAGGCGCGCCTTCGACGTATCATGCTTCTCTGCCAACCTCTGCCATTGTATGGTTCTGTGTCGCCAGATCACCTCTTCAACATGCAATTACTCAGACGATTATCGAAGGGATTCCCCATTCAAATGTCGCGCTATTGAAGAAGTGCGGGTGTGCCGTTCTGCGCTAGCTGACGGCCTCTTCGTCCCCATCACCTGCAAGGGCAGGCGCAGGCTCCAATCTAGCTGATCGACCATCCAGAGGAGCCGCACCAGAGTCTATCAGATTGATAGCATGCTTGTAGGCCACGGAAGAGACCCTGTGGCATTCATCCCGCGGAAGAAGCTGATGCAAGTGCATGGGCGCACCGCCAAAGATCGATCTTAGTCCACCGTGCTCTCGAGATGGCACAATATCCTATGCGGTAATGATGACTACCTTTGGGATGGCTGAAAGTATAATTCATGTCGATCTAGTTTCTTCCCCCTAGGAGTTCTCGACCGGCTTTGTTCCGCGGGCACTACGATGGTAGTGATACTTTCCATGGCCCCTGCTTACTCAGACAGCAATAGCGAATCAGCAGCATCCCGAGGCATCTGTCCCTGTACATAGACCACGTGCTAATGTACTCGAAACTTTGGGTGTACCGTGAAATCTCACAGTAGATGCGTCCCGCAAAGCGATTGCGAGAGCTGCAGTCTGCAGCCCGGTCCAGAGTCCAGTCAGACGCGCGGCGTCAAAGATTTCGCTGATTTTCTTGCTTGGGCACCATTCGGTTTGTATGATCGGTTGAGAGGAGGAGCATTTGCATAGAGCGAGCGACGGCGTCGAGGCACGTTGAACGGCGTGCAACGCGATGGGGCGGGGAGGCTGGAGGAAACACCGCGGACGGGACGGACTCGCTTCCGATGGCGCCGACATGTGGATCACGCACGCTTCGCAGCACCGACTCGAACCATCTCCTCGCCGTCAGGTCGCTCTTTTTCCTCTAAAGAGATAGGTGTCATACATTTCATGGCAATTTGCGCGCATTTCCATGAACCCAATATCGTGAACCTAATCGGCGTGATCATAGCGATGCCTGAGACTCCACGTGTTGTGCAGCGGCTTGTCCATGAATGGCAAAACTTTCGACTTAGGCCCAGCATCGACAATTCCAGTTCCTGGGTCGATGTCATTAGCCCTGCATGATGTAGCGGCTGGCCCGTGAATGTTTCTTAGTTCTCAGGAGCTCCTGCATACATACATACTGTGCGCAGCCCGAAGCAAACCACTACACAAGAGTCGCCACGCAGAAATGTTATTCATTCTATGTGCAAGACAATTCCAAACTTTGGTCGAAGGGATCGGTAGTTGATGACTACGCGGCGGTGGCCTCCGCAGCTTGGCGAACTCGACAGCGCAGCGGAGCCCCGATGGACGCGTCTCCCATCTTACATGGGAGCATCAAGGTCATTGGCCTATCGAGACCCATCATCAAGGCACGCAAAAGTCAGGCCTGTAGCAGGTAAGGCCAAGATGACAATTGACCGAAGTTTTCGTGAGGAGACGAGGCTGAGCCGGCGGAATCGACGCGCTATTAGGGCCGTCGGCGAATGAGCGATGGGTGCCGCGACTCTGCCGATGCTTGAACGCGAAAACATGGATGAGGTGTCGTCGTCGATGCCCATTGTCCTGGGACGCTGATGTTCATATGTAGGTGGGGTGTAGCAAGTGCAAATGACTTTGAAGGTAACCCCAACATTGGTCACTAGAAGCTCACATTATTGTACAACAGTCAACGTGCGCTCTGGCAGTCTTCTTACTATATATACATCTATCATCGTGATATCCGCGATGTCGACATCCACAGATCCGACTGTACCGCTCCCGACCGAGACAGAGAAAGACCGCAAGGACAGGGACGATGATGACGACGACGACGTGAGCTCAACTACACCTGCACCAACTCCAACTCCACCAACACCGGGTCCTCCCGGGAGACCATCACCGGCCGATGCATCACAGTCTTCGCAAACCTCTCTTCCTTCTTCAACCTCGACGCAAGCCTCTGCTTCAGCGCCCGCAGTTTTAGAATCTGGAAATGGCGGTCTGGGCGTTGGCGCGAGCGCTGGTATCGGCGCAGCAGTCGCCGTTGCTGTCATACTACTTCTACTGGGCGGCTGGTTTTGCGTGCGTCGAAGACGAGCTGGAATACGCCGGAAGAGCACCCTGTCACAAAGTTCGTACGACTTGGAGAATGCGACGAAGGGGAGCGAATGTGGAGCCCTCGGGCCAGCGGAGATGGAGGCTGGGTGTAATAGCGAGAAGAGCGCTTCTGAACTCGCCAGTCCTGTTGTTCCCGTGGAGGCCGTTGGCGATCGTCGACTCTTTGCTGCAGAATTACCAGGTTCCGAAGTCCTTCCAAACGACGAAAAGAAAGGCACTGGGGAGCGGCTCTTCCCGGACTCGCCAATCGATGGCGAAGACGACCGGTACCACGTCGATTCGAAGAGTATCGAGGATAAGCAAGCGTCGTGTTGACGGTCCGCTAGCATCTTATGTCGTTACGAATCAAAATACGTTCTTTCGCGCTTTCCTAGCGGGGAAGCCAATCTTGGAAATTTCGCTCTCTCAATGGTTGGTGTACTCGCGATGACCCGATGGAAAATGAACATTTGGAGGCGGTGATACTGGCGAGGCGTCCTGCGGGGTGTAGTCCCTCGACAAGCGCTGCATCGGCGAGACTTCACCAGGAGAAGCCTCAGGTGGTGAGACCATGAGTAGCGGTACAGGAGCACGTACGGGTTCGGTGGTACGAGTCCTTGTATCCGGCTCCAGTGCCATGCTCCAAGTCCTCCATTGCTCAAGCTTCCGAACGTACAGTTCTTCCGCTTCTGACGTGGCGTGAATGTTGCCATTTCCCTCTACTTCTTGCGCAGCAGTATCGCCGTGCAGTTCTGGTATCTGGCCTGCATCCAATTCGTAGATAATCCGAGCATCGGCTTCAACAAGCAGCGGTGGTGGTGTTGGCAGCGGTGGTGATGACGCGGGTGTAGAATACCAAGCTTTCTCCTGTGGTCCTGCTTCGGCATCCATCGACTCTCTCTTTGTGGTCTGGAGCCGTGCTCTCCGAGCCAGCACACGGTTCCTTCGTCTGATCGCAAAGAAAGCAAGAATGGCGATAACGACGATCGATACGGAACACGCTACTCCAATGGCAATACCACGCTTGATGCCAGGAAGGGCCAGGTCCGTTTCGATTGCATTCTCCTCTTGAGTGGTCGTTAGGTTGAAATGTTTCGATGTGGGGGATGGTGTGGGTGTCGCCATGGTTGAGGGAGTCACTTGACGTTTCGCACACACGCAGAACGTGAGAGGATGTGGGAGTTAGTACTCTGTCCCAGAGTACAAGTTTCGGGCATATGCAGTACATGGTCGGAGCAAATATTGCGGCGCAGTCGTGAAGGCTGCATGATCGCCGCACCAGCCTGGCTATGAAACCATGCAAGAGGTGCCTTCGGCGGCTACAGGATTATGGGTCGGGAATCCAATCACGCCGCTCTGGACCAACCATGCCTCGGCGCGTAGGGCAGTGCAACCGACGTGGAACGTGGCACAAGCTTGAGAACCGGCATCGCGATCCTTTTTGAGTGGTTGAAGGAGTTGGGGTTGCTGAAATGTAAGGAGCATGAGGCGTATGCCTATGTTGCGGCACAATAAGCGTGGAGTGGCGAGGCGGCATGTCATCATTTGCCTCCTAGGTAGAACCACGAACACGACGCTCTCACCGGTCGAGCTTACAAGTGCTCTCATAGTCCATATCACCGTGCACCGTGTGTTTCCAAACGATGGGTTACGCGCTGGATGATTTTGCAGAGGCCCTCCTTAGGCAGTTTAAGCGGGGTGTCTGCGGGTGCCCGCATCCTGCGCGGCTCTGCGGCTCTGCAGCTCTTTACCGACATCTCATCAACATCGCCTTTCTTCTCTCCTCAATGTTTAGAAACACCAACTGATACAAGCTTTGTCGCACTGAGCTCAGCCGCAAATTTCCAACCCAAGGACAGGTTGCCAGGCTGCCTCATGGCCATGGGGGCCGCTGGCCGGTCAGCCTCGCTGGCGGCCTGAACCCGCAAGTTCGGGGAAGCGGCCCCATGCGTTGACACGCCTACTACTTGAGTCAAGCAACTTCGCAAGAACTTGCTGTAAGTACCGACGGTCGCCACATTTTCCTTACTCAGACAATGCGTCTTTTCGTTGGTGTCAAAAATAACTATCGCAGCGAGCCGTCAGGATCAACATATCGGCTATCCCGGTGCTGTACCGTGATATTGGAAGTGTGACTCTGCGATCACCTTCCATACCGGCAGACCCAGACGTTCGATCTCCTCATCTTGCCGATAAAAGGTTGAAGCTATATCCACTGACGCTCATATCCTCAATGTAAATAAAAATTACCTACTCATGAAAACTTCGAGTCGGAGTACCAGAAAGAAACTCCGCCCAAACCATTCAATTACTATTTCGCATCGCGTCTCCGACTGTGGCTGCAAACCCTTGATCTCCAGACTACTTCGCGATGATACATCAAATTAAACATTAAACAAACCCAGAATATACCACTGTCAATGGCTAGTGCATCTAGGCCTCAGCTATGTTGTCGTGTCGACCTAAATACGAGCAAACACTCTGGTTACAAGTACTTCTTCCCGATCTTGACCGTCTCTCCATCCTCCTGCTGTCCATCCACGACACACAATTCCAGATGTTGGTCGCCTGTCTCCTGGATCTTGATCATACTCCTCCATGTTTCAGGGCGCCTCACACCTGCACTCGTGCCGTACAACTTCTCGCTCGGCGCCGAATTCATTGCCAACGCGATAAGCTCCGCTACGTCCTCCCAGCACTCGCCACCGTAGTACCGTCCCCTAGCGACAGAATAGCCTACAAATGCTATATGCACAATCAACATCAGCGCAAAGAGCAGCAGGACAATCATGGCTGCCCAGACGGCCGTGTTCTGGAGTCCGTATCCGTATCCGTAGGAATCGAGTGTGATGCGAACTGAGTAAAAATCGGGAACGTAGCTGTCTGGATTCCACTTGAAAAGCCTTTCACCCGAGGGAAGAAAGGTTTCAAGTCTTGTTACCACGTCAGCGGTGGCGTTAGTTTTGACGAAAGAGGATAATCTAGACATGCTTCGCGCTATGCCGTCCACAAGCACAGTTCCCACCAGCATCGCTATTGCCTCTTCGAATGCGCCGCCCGTGTCTGGGGTCGTCATATTAGGCGCATAGAACGCCGTAATTCGGTTCTCTTCTTGTTTAGGGCGGATGATGGCAGTATTGAGGAACCGGGCCATGCCACTGACACTGGAGGAAGAGTTGTCGGCTAGCCACTCGCTTTGTTTTCGGTTCAGAAAATGCGCCCAGTCGAGCCTCAGGTCGAGTGGGTTTTCTGATATGCCCAACTTGGTGAGGAGTGCTTTTTCGGGTTTCCATTCGGTCTCGGAGAGTGCATCAGAAACGTTGCTCGAGACAGTGGTCGAGTTCTTGGGCTGGTAATATGCATCGCTAGAGACCCACCTTGCATCAGTTGAGCATGCCACAGTGGCAGTGGACGGGTATCTGTCTTTTGTTGAGTTTTTGGCCGAGACAGGGATGATTGCCAACGCAAGTAGCGATGATGACAAATCCCCGTTGTTGTTTTTGTACCATTTGAACCTCGCGTTTTTACTCGGTAGCCGATCAAAGATGGTATCGTTAGACTTGGCGTATTGTGTCTCAGCTTCGGGATGCAATGCCTCCTGCCCCCATGCCTGTGACCTATCGATGTTCGGAAATGGGACGCGTAGTCGATCCGGGACTTGGGTCCACATAGAGAGGCTACACTTCACATAGACGATGGGCTGGTGTATTGGAGTGTCCGCTTTGATGCGCAATCGGGGATATGCCATGTCTCTAGTACCGCCGGCATTGTTGTGTCTTGCATAGTTATAAAATGTACCGAGTGTTCTCGAGCTCAGCTCTGTGACGACGGTGGTGTAGGCCCAGCCGCCCTCTGGGTCATTGCCAGTCTTGATGGAGACCTTCCGTTGAACGCTGCTCGCACGTAGATCTGTGAAGAGCAAGTCATCGCGTGATCCAGTCTTCGTGAAACTGATAAACTGAATAGTTTCAGCATTGAAAACATGTTATGTCCCAAAAACTGGAGATAAATACCCATTTATAGATATCGATGAACCCTGCCGACGGGCAGTGTAGGTTTAATGGTGACGTGAATGGATCTTGGAGGCAACGAGCAGTTTGATTTGTGTCCATTGAGTTATTGAAGACAGTTGGCCAGATTTTGGCTGCAGTTGCGTTGTAGAGGACGGTTGAGCCGTTGGCTGGAAAAGCGTTCTTCATCTCGTACCACTCAAGCGAAGGAATCATCGTGATCGCGGATGACGGTCCTAAAGTCAGCGAAAAGATACAGGTGAGAAACAACAAGCCTCCGAATGGGAGGTGACGCCTCCACCCCGCCCAGAATGACCACTTGAACAGCATGCTGGGCGAGCCTGTGACATGAAGTGCATTGACGAGTCCGAAGGGAATACCGTTTCGCCCGACCAGCAGTCTTCGCATGTAGTGAAAGACAATCATGGATAGTGATGCGAGCATCAGCAACTCGTGAGCCTTGGACGCGACCTGAAATGCCATGAGTTCCATGTTCTGCCGTTTCTGGTTTTTGATCTTGAAATCCCTCCAAAAGAGTCCGATGATGTGTATCCACAGAAGGATACCAACTATGGCGAGTACTGCAGTGTGATACATGAACTCAAGCCATGGAAAGTCACGCTTCAGAGCGATTTTGGCTCCTTCGGTGGGATTCGTAGGTCCCAGATCGCGCTCGTGCACATCACTCTCTTTGGTGGAGACCAACGATCGCTGATCGATCAAGAGCGCAGTGTCCTCCATCACACTCCACAGGATGTCAGAATGATGAGTAGTAAATCGAAGCGATCGAAGAACGAAAGGCTGGAAGAAAGAGGGTTCGCATACAAGAGAGGCCAGAAGAACGGGATATCAGAACAACAGCGGGGCGCGGGGGTCTGCCATGCTTAAGAAGGTTGAGGGGAAAACCGGTGGCCATCAGATGACAAGACATTATTTGGGAAACCTATCAAGATATCGCAGAGTGAGCCAGCGCGACAGGTGCGGGGGCCAAATCATTAAGGAGGCAAAGACTTAGGTAGGGGTAACAATGCTGAACACCGATGCCAGCCTGGTGGCTGCGGAATCTTACGCCAAGAGCGAAACTGGTTCCCGACATGATCATTCCAGGAGACAGGACCGGAGGCCATAGTAAGGATGATGAGGTCTCTCAATCAGGCTGGATAAGACAACACAGGAAAAAGGAGGTAGACAACTGTTGAAGTTTACAGGTCTGTTTTCGTACGTTCTGTGTATCTCGCGAAGACTTTGCGAGGGTCCTGGGTTGTAAAATCTCGGAAAAGGTCGCCTTGAACGAGGACGGACGTGTTGGTGTGATAACGTTTATTG